TTGGGAACAACCGTCCTTCAGCAAGCCCAGAACCAGAACCGGTTGATCCTCGGGCAAATTTCCAGCTCAATGTTGGGAACAATGTGTTTGATGTCGCCTCACCCGATAAGAACGCGAGAGCTGCACCACAGCCTTCACAGAACGATCAAGACCTCGACCCTATCGCTCGGGCCCTTGCAGATCTCAAGGGCGTCGGCAAGCAGTCTTCTGTTCGCGTTTCCGCTGATCGTTACCATGGAATTTCTACCCCTGCTCCTTCCGCTCCACCCTCTAACCAAGGCACGGCCACAAACGGCGCAGTGGCCGCTGCCCAGCGTGGCACTCCTCCCCCAGCCTACAATGATGCCCCTGTGAAGAGACTTGATGCACCTCAACCAGCCTTCACGTCGGCACAAATGCAGAAGACGACCCAGAAGTATGTTGGTCAGAAGCAAGAGATGTTTAATAACCGTAACACGCCTTCCCGCCCCACTACCAGAGCCGGTACGTCAAATGGCGATGTTCCTCGTGCCGTTTCTCCAGCAGCAAGACGTAGCGCCAGTCCCCAACCAGCACCGCGTGCGGATACTCGTGCAAGCCAATACGGTCGCGGGAACCCCAGCCCATCGTCCTACCATTCCAGCAGTATGAATAGTAGGCACCGACAGTCTCCATCGGCGGCTCCAAGCGTACGTGGCAACGACCAGGGATATCAACAACCTCAACAACAGTATTCCCGCCACGCATCTCCAAACGATCTTCGCCGCTCCGCTTCACCTCAGCCCCAGTTCGCACGACAGGATCGCCCTTCATCCAGTGCCGGTGGAATGGAATTACAATTGTCGAACAGTCCAGGAGATAACTACGGTGGAGGCTATGCGGACTCGATTTATGAGGGAAGTCAACGTGGACGTGATGGCCAGCGAGGTGGTGGAAGGCCAATGTCGATGTATTATGGGGGATCAAACGACGGAGGTAGCCAGAGCTCCAGGGTTAGAAGTAAGAGTGTTGTGATTGCCGATACCCCGAGGCAGTTCTCTCGGGACGGTCGCCCTATTCTTCATTATGGTAAGTCTATCAACCTAGTACCTTGACATTTGTGCTTGATGCTAATTGATCTTATTTTGCCAACAGCCCGCGCAGTGTACAATTATACAGCAGCCATCCCAGAAGAGCTAGGCTTCATGAAGGGAGACGTTTTGGCAGTCCTGAGGATGCAAGATGACGGCTGGTGGGAAGCTGAAGTGACCCATCACAACAGCCTTCCGGGACTGGTTCCAAGCAACTATCTACAAGCCTGTTAATGGGCTCATAGCTAGGTTGCTACGCCTCTATTCCATTCTATATTCTACTTCGAAGAGGATGTCTTGGCCGATCTCCCAGAAGGTACAGTTCTTTTTATTCTAGGTTCGGTGTTTTATCATAATCAGGGAAGGTTTCGAGATATCAGGGTTCACTTTCCAACCATCATGATGACGAGGGAAATGAATGTCTATAATGTTGACAATGTGTTGGATTCCTTTTGTTTCAAAACCTTGCGGGTATCTCATATCTATACCTCTCGTTGGCCTGCAAGTCTTTTCATATGTTCTTGTTTCCTTTTTTTTTTGGTCCATTTGCGTGTCATCTTGCTTGGCTTCTAGCCACTTTTTCTTCAAGCTTTAGCCGGCGTGGTCTGATTCCTCGGTCTCTATTCTGTCCTTTTTATCTTTTATATCATGGTGTTTATTGAACCCCCTGGCTCGCTTAAATGTTAACCCTCACTTGTTCTCTGTCCTCTGTATTTGCGCCTTTACAATTGAAGTATGGTGTTTCTATATTCGGGCTTCGGTCCTATCCCATTTGTTGTCGTTGTCACGATTACCCCTGTCAGATGTAGATAGTTCATGCAATCTATGGTGTTTCTTCGGGAATATATCTTAAACTTTCTCCCCCGTGATAATTTCACAGTAGTAGTAGTCTCGGGGTAGGTGGTGTGGTGTGCTTAGGACGCTCAGAGAAATATAAATTTGAGATTAAGTAGGTACTGTTTTGTGTGGAAAAATATATATATCCACGCCCAACGACCACAATCACCCCCAAAACTGGCACCATGCCAGATCACAACAACGAGAAAGAAATAGACAGCAATAGACAGCATATTGAAAACACTTCATAGAGCCTACAAGTAGATGTTAAATATTGAAAAACTCAAAAAAAAAAAACTTCAAAAAAAAAGACAGAAGGGGGATATGGTTATGAGCTAGGTGGAGAACGTCATGAAAAATTCAGTAGTAGCTACGCAATCGTCGAGGACCAATCTAGAGGAATTAGAATATGAGAATTATCTTGATAAGTTTCTCGTTATTCTCATTTATCGCCAACCGGGTACAGGAGTCTAGGGGTACAGGCGGGGGAGAGTAGGTTGGCGGTTCGGGGAATGAGTGAATAAGGGGTTCACATGAGGGGGCCCCAGGGAAACAGAAGGGTGTCTCGAGAGCAAGAGAGGTACATGGTAAGGAAAAAGGAAGAGGAAAGGAAAAGAAAAAGCCCCCACAGTCGCAGAGGCCTCTGCAAGATTGATCTGAGAGAAGGATTGTGGAAGATGGTTTCCCTTGGCTCGGGGAACCGTAGTTCCTAGAGCCAAAGTCGGAGGGTCATACCCACAATGAATGCCCAAGCATACATATGCCATGGCCTGCGAATACCCCGTCCTAACCTTGAAAAGAGGAAAGGGAAAAGGCAAATAATCAGAATATAGGCGCCACACCGAAAAGCGCGAAGATGTTGAGCCGGGACTTACCACTGCATCCCTCGACCATGCACTTGTAGCCCGTGGGGTCGGTTAGGACTTTGGGGGTTGAACCGGCGCAGTAGGGGTCGGTCGTGGCGTCGTAGCCGGTTGTCGCGCGGGGTGCGTTCTTGTCTTTGCCTGTGTTGCAGATCATGAGGACGTGGTCGTTGGTGTGCCCGCAGGGCATTTTGATGCGGTGGACTTTGCACATCTTTGCGTTAAAGGGGCGGTTGAAGAGGGTTGTGGATGGGGTGGATGTTGGTTTTCGCTGGGAAGAGGGAGAGCGATAGGTCGGGCTGGAGGTGGATTGTTGGTCAGTGAGAGTGTTAAGTAGGCTGTAAGGAGAGTCGAGGATTCTGCCCCTTAAATAGGAGAGGGAGAATGGGGATTGCCGGACTTCACCTACAGTTTGAACCACTGGTTGAGAAGTGCCGCTGTAAAGAATGATACGGGAAAGGTGGTTGAGGTTTCAAGGAGTGGAAAATCCCGATATGAGAAACGGTATTTGTAGATAGAAACGAGATCTTCGAATAACATTCACTCGAAGATCGTTCGAGGAGAGAGGAAACAAACACATGAGCGAGACATTGAGTGAATGCACAGCTTCACTGAGAGTCAATGATCTGACATTCAGGTCTTTGAAGGTGACGTATGTCGTCTCACTGGAAAGCAAAGAGCTTGTGAATGGGCCTCCCAAGGACTAATCGATTCACAGCGACAAGAAACCGGAATATACAGCTCCATTGTAGTGTAAAAGTTAGCATCAAATAGGGACTGATTAGAGCCGGCCGAGCCGTCCACAAAGATAAGCAAGACATGACAATATATTCAACATACAAACAACCACCTTAGAAATGAGACATGACAAACCATCTTGTTGTAGAACCAGAACAAAGGGGAACAATATGTTCGCATGGATATAAACAATGCTTCTAGTAGACAAGGCGAGAAAAAGGAAATATTAAGACATGCGAGAGGTTGTGTCTCTCTTAACCAAACATACAACATGTAATATGTGCAAGGAAAAGGGGTAATGATGGCAGGGGTCATATAGAGAACAGTGAAGAGGCCACGGGGGTATCGGAAGCAACGCTGAGGTTTATGAATAAGTCTTTATTCATTATCGACGAAGGAGTTTGCAAGACGGCCGAAGAAAGGGACCTCGTAATGTTCGAGGGAATCAACTGTTTAAATCAGTAATGAGAGCGCAATTTATCGGTATTTTGATGGGAAAGAGGCAACCTACCGTCCCTATAGGCGCGCATGCTGAGAAAGGCGATCAATACTAGATCGCAAATGAATAGCAGCCATGATATTATACTCGTCCAAGCGAATATCATGTGGATTATCTGTGTACGGGTTAGCAGGTGTTCTGGAAACAGTAATCGAGGGTACTTACAAATATTGCCGTGAAGAGCATACTCGACTGCCAGGCATGGAATCTAGTAAACGTCAGCAACTTGCTCCACATCCCAGAGTAATCGGGGAATCCGGGGATTCCTCAAGTCTCGAAACATACCGAACATAATCGCTCTTATGTTCTACCAGTAGCAAGAACACTCCACCAGCTGGTGGAAGAAGTAGATATGCGAGCATAGCTTCAAAGTCCATTCGCATTGGGAGACTCGTCTCGAATGCCCCCAAACTCAATCTACCCCCCTCAGTATCCCTCCCGAAGCCCGAATTTCCATAGCTTCCACCTCTTCCATCCTCGCCGCCGAAATGGCTTGGCGACGGAAGCCCGGGCGGTGGGGAGCCAGCCTGTCCCGGAGAAGAGGACCTCGGAGACGTCACAGTGGGCTGTTTCGCACGGGAACCGTCTGGTGGGGGGGAGAGAGCTCTCTCAATCTCCGGGGATTGATCTTGGTACGGTGCGAAGTTCATGGTGAGTTATGGGTTTAAGCGACTGTATGGCGACCTCATGGGACTTGGCTCTGTTGACTTGAGGTATGGATGTAGTTGGAGCCTCTGGACTCAAATGACGCGTTGGCGTTGGCGTTTGGGACTGGAGATCGTGGCTTGGCAACGCTTTTGAGAGGATGTGGAGTTGACGTGCAGGGATGGTGGACGCTTCAAAGAGGACAGTCGTATTCTTTGGTTTGAAGGGATCGCTGAGATCCGATGAGACTTGGGATATTATTTGTTCATGCGGAAGAAGAACATGGTGATGGTTGGGTGTTTTATGTTGTTGTGGTTCTAGCTGCTCTTCCCTCATAAGGCAATTGTGTGGAAGTCAATCCAACAATTCGCCTGGATGGTCTAGTGGTATGATTCTCGCTTTGGGTTAAACATCTTAAATGCGAGAGGCCCTGGGTTCGACTCCCAGTTCAGGCCACATCTTTTTTTTTCTTTTTTTTGGCCAGTTTGCCTTATCTTTATTTGGCTCGTGCTCGGCAGCAATCGGCAGCCTGCTCTTTATCTTTTTAACAATGGTATGGTGGACTAGAATGCGCTTCACTCTAAGGGGCTGACAGGAGGTTCTGACCTGAATCCGATTTGGCCTCTTTGTGCACTGCGTCAATTTTTATATTACTTTCTGGCTTCTCTTTGGATTACGATTAAAAGGGTTGACTTTATTAAAGATCTATATTTAATGTGAAGAAGTTCGTTGCGCATGTCGTCTTGGTGGGTATCGATTGTATCATGAAACTCCTCTTCCGCGTCCTCGACCTCTCGCAATGCCTGATGACCTGCTAGGAATACCACTCCCTGGCCTCCGATAACCGCCTGTTGAACCTCTGGTGGTACTGCTCTGCCCACCGGTACTACTTGACGTTTTAGTCGACGTGGTTCGCACCAGGCCACGCGTTTTCCCTCTCGTTCCACGAGTACCCCTCGAAGAGGCTTCAGCCCTTCTCCTCTCGTCCTCCTCAGCCTTTCTAGCCGCTGCATCTCTCCGTTGTTGCTGTTCTAGTTCCTTTCGTTCTGCAGCCTGTCGCTTTACGATTGCTTCGTTCTCTATGTCTGTCATATCCTGCGTAGCTCCTTGCCATGATGGGTTCAAAATGAGTCTCTGGTTGTGTTCGGTCTGGGAGAGGATGCGCGTCCACGCATTGAGGAGGGTAGAAGCTGAGTTCACTGTTCGCGATACCGTCTAGAAGGGTTATTTAGTAAAGCAATGGGAACAGTACCCGGGGAGCGAAGATAAGGGATCAGGATTCGAGAATGGGAATTGTAGTATGTACCTCCATGTTGCCCTTGGCGCGTGCCAGGCTATCCACAACGCTCTCAATCACTTGGTTGATATTTCGGACACTCTCAAGCTCCCGCCGTAGCGCGATATCCCTCGCTTCTTCCTGATCATAGAGTGTATCGTCGTTGCGGGGTAGAGACGATTCCGGCATCTTCTCGGAATCTGTGCTGTCTTTGCCTGAACGCGACTTGGGCCGACGTTGAGAAGGTGAAATCCAAAGGTCTTCTGTATCCTCGTCCGACAACTGAAGTTTATCCATCTTCACAACCTCACTTTCAGTCGCCATTCTTAGGAAGAACGGTGGGGTGTATCTAGAAAAGCCCACGGAATGAGAGAACGCGACCGAAGAATCCAAACAAAACAGCTAAGGAGGCTGAACTAGCTAGCTGGTTAGGATGTCGGTTTTTTGTACATGTAATTAGGAAATAGATTAATGAAGGTCACAAAGCAAAGCAAAGGTCAATTCAATCATAAACTTTCGTGGGTGTTTTTGTCGTGATTTTGCAAATCTGGGGGTGGTTTATTCGTCAACTAGCTGTTTCATACATACAGAGGACGACATCTTGAAGTCGAGAAGAAAAGCCGACGAAGAGAAGATAAACGCGCTGGCCCCTGGGTGTGTGACAAGCATTGCGCGATACTTTTCTTATGCTACATAGCGGACGGAAACTTCCTAGGATCCAGTGCATTGCTTCAAAACCCGGGTTTGTTTTTGACCCGCAAATGACTATGGTCGATATCCACGGCAAAGGGGTTTCCTAAGGACTTGTACGCATGACAGCAAGTAAGTCTGCTTGATCTCAATTACCGTCCATGCAAGCTAATAGAACTACAGTGGTTGAGTCACCAGTATGGCCTCCGCAATCCTCCCACCAAGCTCTCTTAAGCTCCCCAAACGGCCGACGGAAGTTCAGAGAGATGCAAGATCGGAGGCAAATAAAATCACCCAGCAAAGCGCAACAATTACTAGACGAGGGGTTGGAAGACGAGAACGACGAAGAAGACGAAGATGAGGAGACACTACAGCTCAAACTAGCTGCGATCGAGGCACGCCTGAAATTGAAGAAACTCCAGAACAAAACAAAGTCAGGTGCCTCTGGGTCTGATGCCGAAGCAGGGAGCTCGTCGAGACCGCTGACCCGGTTTCGAAGCGAACGCAATCAGGATGAAGGCGTCCAGGTCCCTCTGTCTCCCGTAAAGAATCCGAAACCTACCCTTGAGCCAGTCTCCCCGCGGAGGGTCATACTCGGAATTGATAAAGGAGTCAAAGGGAGGGATGTTTCACTCAGGCGGCCCCCGGCCTCTAGGCCAGAGTCTAGGGTTACAGGTACCCTCCGCCGGGGTCCAGAAGCCACTCCTGCTGCGCGGCGTGACGAATACCGCAGTTCAAGCTCGTTAGGGCTCCCCGAAGGCTCACAACGGCCAAAAAGTTTCAGTGAGCGCATTGCGGAAAGCCGTTCGAGCGATAAATCTAAACGAGAGAGGGCGGAAGAGCTTCAAAGGAAGAGGAGTACCGCATTCAATCTCGACAAGGATGAAATGGCGCATTTTCAAGCTACTGCTGCTGCTGCGGAATCTAAAAATCATCCGTCTTCGGAAGCTCAAGACCGTCGACACGTCGAGCAGTTCAGTCGTGATGACATTCTTCGTGCTCAGACTCCGTCTACGCTACGGAGAAACAAAACCACTTCGAATTTACGAGGTCAGAGCACAGATTTGAGAAAGCCACCAGACCTTCAGCACTCCTTCGATTCTAGCGGAGACCGACAAAGGGAAACCGGGCCAGAAGACACTGGGCTGAAACCTCCGGACGCTACCAAATATGAGCCATTCTCTTCCCTCCACCTCTCAAACCGCGTTCTCCCACACTCATTCCTTACCCGAACCCTCGCCTCAAAAACGACCATGCGAATCCCCGACCTCCTCAAAGAGGTTAAAGGCCCGAGTTTCGACCCTCCCGAAGTCGACGGCGACTACGTCGTCTTCGGCATCGTCGCATCCAAATCCTCCCCAAAAGAGCACAAGAACCAAAAGAACGTCACCGCCAAGGAAAAAGACACCAACGACGACGGTTCCAACAACACGAGTAAATACATGGCCATAACCCTCACAGACCTCCAATGGACAATCGACCTCTTTCTCTTCACTACCGCTTTCACCCGCTACTACAAACTCTCCCCCGGGACCGTCATCGCGATCCTTAACCCATCCATCATGCCCCCTCCACGTGGGAAAGAAGACACAAACCGCTTCAGCCTCACAATCTCCTCATCAGACGATACAATCCTCGAAATAGGATCCTCCCGCGACCTCGGATTCTGCAAGACGGTCCGAAAAGACGGCAAAGTCTGCGAAGCATGGATCGATGCCCGGAAGACTGAATTCTGCGACTTCCACGTCGACGTGCAAGTCCGAAAAACGAAATCCCGACGCATGGAAATCAGCGGTGCGGGAGCCGAACTTTTCGGACCAGGTGGCCGGTCTGGTTCTCGGATGGGTAACTTCGGCGGAGGAGGTGCCAAAAGAAATAATAATAACAAACAAGGTGGATTCCGCGACGACGGCCTCCTCAAACACGAAGGCGGCGCAACTTATGATCGAGCCACGGGGTCAACATACTATGTCGCCCCCGCCGCACCATCGAGTTACGCCACAGGGTCGAACTTTGCGCGCGGACGCTCAGCTGCCAGCCTCCTAGACTCCGACGACCCGTTCATCGCCGAAGGAGCCCTTTCCAGGTACGAAGGCAGCAAGCAAGAACGAATGCGGAAACGGCTCGCTGAGCAAGAACGAGAGCGGAATATTGCTCGCAACCTCACCGGTGCGGGGGGAAGCAACACCGGCGGTGGAGTTGGGGCGGAGTACCTCCGCGCCGGACACGGTGATCCCTCATCATTGTCGTCCGGGAACACCCATCCCGACCAGGCGGGTACCAGCGAAACTACGGCGGCTAATATCCTGGACCTGGGTAAAGGGGTCCGGAAAGCGGGGTCTATTAAATTGGGGCCTAGGAAGAGGGCGCATGATGGGAAGGAGGCTACTGTTAGTAAGAAGACGAGGTTCATGACTCCGAAGGGGATTCGGGAGGCGGGGAGGGAGAGTTTAGGAGGGGTGCCGCAGAGACCGGTGGAGGAGGATGATGATGATGAGTTGGATATTGTCTAGGCTCTTCTTCTAGTGTTCGAGTGGGGGTAAATGTATGGGACATGGAGTTTCGTGGGTTTGTTTGGGGAGTTTGGATGTAAGAGGTTGCTAGTTAGGTCCATCAGACCAGCTGGAGAAGGGACGAAGGAAGGGCTTTGTTACGAATCATGATCACTTTATATTCCCCTGTATGCATAACTTCAATCTTAAGATACTTGAACCGAGTTTCAAGTCATCTCCAAAAAGAAGGCCGACCAGCTGTATAGATATTATCAATTGAAACTTTCATTTATTTAAACTACCTACTGAGAATGCGATCTTGGTTGGGAAAGACAGAGATAATGAAACGGTTGACCCATTTTCCTCAAACCACCCGCGCCAGGAATTAAGAAAAAAGCAGAAAAGCAGTACATAACCTCGGGGGAATAACCTCAAACATGACAGGAGAAGGAAAGGAAAAGGGCGTTTGTCATAGAAACATACTGTTGCACTTGGTGAGACATGAGATTGAAACAAAGGGAAGAGAGAGATGAAAAGGGGGAAGGTGAAGTGAAAGTTGTATCATAATGACAGCCAAAGAAAGGGAAGAAAGAGAAAGAGAACAGGGAATGTAGAAAGCAGACATGGGTTTAGAAGAAATAAAACAAACAATCCTGGCCATAACCGTTCATCACGCATCTCAAGACAAAAAGGAAACAAAGGATGAAAGAGAAGTACAGGGACGAAAGGGACATCAGGCTTAGAGGGTTGCGAAGGAGCATGTATGTATACTGCCTTCAGCAACTAGAGGACCCTAAACAGTCGAGATAATCCTTCCAATCCCTTGGACTAGAATACAACACCAAGTACTCCGTAGACTCAAGAGGGCAAAGGGGAACACGCAGCAAATTCTCATGCAGAAGAAAACGGGTGGCAGAGTTCATGTGCCGCGAACCTTCTTCTTGGCTGGTCCAACGCTGCCAGCTGAGGAGACACCTCTCTTCCTTGCTTTCGGGGTCGAGGTAGCGGAGCCATCGCTGGACTTGGTTCTCTTCCAAGATCCAAAGGACGCATTCGCTCTGTCGCAGTTGACCGGGGTCTTGTCCTGCTTTGACTGAGAGCGCAGGGAGTGGCCGGTGAACCTTGGAGTAGATGGCGTCGTTGCAGACGAAAGCAAGGTCTGGTTGGTTGGTGTGGTGGGCTCAGCTTTAGTGACTACGTCGCTACTGTGCGCATCGACCAACCCTGGGCCATCCGCGAGGTCCTCAATGTCGGTGGCCGCTTCTTCGTCGGTGAAGGCAGCCTTGGTCTCGTCGGGTTGGCTTGGTGCGGCGGTTGGAAATAGCAACCTCGGCTTGACAGATGAACGAGTCAAGGGACGGATGTTGCGGTTTTGGAGCGGGTCTTCCAAGTTGGAGCGACCAGCAAAAAGACCCTCCGCGGGGAACTCGTCGTTGTCCTCCTCTTCAGAATCATCCTTGAATTTCCTGAAGAACTTCTTGCCGCGACTAGGTTTAATTAGCTTGGAGCTAGGACTGTAGATGAAAGGGTAAACTTACAAGACGTAGAACATTCCATCGTCGCGGTGATGAACAGCTTCATCAACTTCTTTGTCGCGTGGAGTATCGCCATTCGCATCAACCTTCCTCCTCTTAGTGGTGCGCGCGGTGGTGTTGTTCTTCTCAGGAGCTGCGACGGCAGGCTTCTGATAGAATGGGTTGTCTTCACCTTGATGCACCTCAGGAATCCTATCTCTAGAGTCTGTGAAGATCTGGAGGCTGCCCTGGTTCTCAGTTGCTCCGTTTTCGTTGAAGCTCTCCAGAGAAAATGCGCTATACTTTTTCCCCTTCTTCACAGGCTTCTGGGTTTGTGCGTTTCCAGATTCTGTGGCGGGGTTATTAGGGAATAGAACCCGTGAAGCCATGCTGGAGTCCGGAACCATCTTCTTGCGCGGTGTTTTGACTGGTGTTGGTAGAGTCTCGTCTGCCATTATCGTGCGATTGTTGTGTGTGAGGGTGTTTTGATTTTGTGTTGTGTGGGTTGAAGAGTTGGAAGTAGAAGGAATATGACGTTCGTTGTTTATAGAAAGTGAACTTCCCGGAACCACTTTAACCCGGTTACCAGCCTTCCTGCGGGGAGAGTTCTGAGTAGAACTTGGAGGTGATAGAGCTCCCATAGCATTTGCTTTGGGTGGTACCCCATCAACTCCCATATCCGTCTGATCTTGTAAATCGGTAGGCGAAGTTGGCGGAGGCGTAGAATGTGATTTGGCAGCAGCTCGCCGGCTTGCTATACGGGAGGAGTGACGGGTTCCATATGGATCATATCCATCATACCCAGCTCCATGTCGGGGAGTGGGAGGCATCCGAAGATTCGTTGGGGGAGGTGGTGTGGTCGCCATTTCTGTAGCAGCACCGCGATATCTCCTTCACCAGCGGTACAACAACAACAGCAGCAGCAGCAGCAGCAATCCCCCCAGATATTACTCCTAGCTAGCTCGGTTCTGCCGGTTCGGTATACGGATGGATTGGATTAACCTCAACGAGACCGTCGGCTTGGTTCAAATACGTGAAAGTGCGGAGGTCAGACCGATGACCTCACGCCTGGAAATACGTAAACAAAGACCCGGACGATAATCTAGGACAATACGAAAGGGGATGGATCTATATCCAAAATATAGCATAGACAGGCCCGTATAATCGTGAATTAAAGGATATGGGGGGTGATGGTGGAAGAAACAGCCATCTCGTTGTCCTCGCAGCTTTGATGGGAAGTCGTTGAGGTTGGTTTTCCCGTGCCCAGCCTCCCGATTTCAAAATTACGCGCTTAGTTCTCCACATTTACCGCCACTGGCGAATCCCTGCTTTAACAAAGGAACAAAAGTCAAAGAAACATCAAACGATCCAAATTACGGAGTACTGAAAAATTGGTTGCATGGAGAGTTCTACCCAAGGAATTGCGAGAAGTTATTATAGATGGTGTTTGTAGGAACAGACAGGTTTTGGGATTGTTTGTTTCCCGCTCCACACCAGCTTTCTTTCTTTCTATTTTTTCTTTCTCCGCTTTCTTGTTGGTGCAGGAAGTCGTCGTAGTTTTCGGACATGAGAATTTCGGATCTGGCTTGGCTTGACCTTCACAGCTCGTTTGGTGTAGTTTCAGTCGACTGATCGTAGAAACTGTAAACTCTCATACTTCTTTCCCACACTGCCAGTTAAAGAGGGTGGGTTCATCGCGAGTATTATCGAAGACTGCTCTATTTCCCAATGAAGAACGCTCGTCTGGTTGAAGAGTTTTCTCGATTCTGACCACGTTGATACGGGAGAACCAGGTCACAAATCTATCCGGGCTCATGATAAGCGGATCCTGACTTCCTTTCTCGGCACTATCTGAAGATTCCTTGAGATGACTGACTATCAAAGCATCGGCCAGCTTCAATTCTCCTTCTTCTGTCATATTTTTCGAAGACCTTTTTACGCGTCGCTTCAAAAAGAGAAGAACGGACAGGAATCGAGCACTTATATTTCCAACGCTCATGTCCGGTGTGGTCTAGTGGTTAGGATTGACATTGAAGCCGTGTTCCTCATTAGAAACCTTCTCGGTTCAGGATTTGAGAGGGAAGTTCACCTTGAAATACAGAAAAGGGGGAAAGTAAGTATTCAGATATACAGGACTCATCTTTCATTGACTAATTCATTTGAAGAGACGTTCGTAATGATGATGATCTGATTTTCATCGACTCGGTATCGCGAACCGAGTCTCAACGAATGACATGACTGGTAACACGACCGAGAGACCATTGTGGCCATCATCTTGATAGAAGTGTTCAGTTGCTGAGATTGGCTCGGAATATCAACATTGAGCAGTGTGGATTGGGATGAAGTCATTGAACGATGCGATCTGCACGTTTGAATGTGTGCTGAAGAATCTGTTTCAAAGTTTGATCATGAACATTACTCAGTCTAAGTGCGAGAATAATCAGAACTTTGACGACACACATGCAGTTGTGCGAGGTATTGGATATCGACTCATATTCAAAAACAGATTCTTGGAGTATCAACAGCGGCTGCTGCGCTGATTGTCAATCATTTCCCAACAAAAGGAATCAAGCACTTCTCTTTTTAACTCTCATGTCCGGTGTGGTCTAGTGGTTAGGATTCCTCGCTTTCACCGAGGCGGCCGGGGTTCAATTCCCCGCACCGGAGTCAATTCTTTCTTTTTTTTTTCGTTTCACGAAGAGAGGGGTTGGTCGTGCTCGATTCCCCTTGTTAGCTTTTCTCTCTCGTCTTGACGCGACGCGTAAAATATCTTGGCGCGAAGCGCAGACAAAAAAGGAAAGTTCAAGACATCAAAATCTCAACGACGGCGAGGAAGGCACATAGGTCAATTCGACTACTTAAACAAATCAACAATTAAAGCCATTCTCAACCATGAAAACCCGATCCTCCGCCCCCCCAGCAGACTCTACGGACGATTCTCAGCCCGCAATGGCTTCTCAAAAAGCTACCTCACAACAAGACCACAAGCCGACCAAGATGCTTATCCTCCCCTCCAATGCGACTGATGAGGCGCGAATACTCTCGTTAAAAAACCCGAGGACCGGCATACTAGGCCGATACTACTTTTGTCCGAAACTGGGACTCTATGAGTTTACGTCAATCGCGTATCCGAAGTCTACACCGAGTAGTACGTTGTTTACATATCCTGCGGACGATGCAACGGAGGGACGGTCGACGAGTTCTATATCCAAGGACAGCGGGCTCCTTATCGCGACACCCATTGACGTTATATTCTTCGCACTACCCATACTCTCGCCCTCGGCGACAGCGAAAGGAAATAAGAACCTACTCCACGCATTAGACGATATGTTAGACGCGCAGGATGATATTCCGAAACACCTTCGCTACGCACTCCTTCATGAGAAGTTCAGACCGCAGGTTGAGAAGAGGATGGAGGCTATATGCGACTCTGTTGAGGCGTCCGGGGAGAAGATGTTTAGATTGAACGAGGAGAAGCTAGTGAAGGAACTTGTCCGCAAGGCGGAGAGGATGGTAGCGCATGGGTTACCACCGAGTATGGAGGAGAGGTTCATTCAGCGGGCGTTGGAGACGCCGCTTCAAAGCGAACAACGGGAAGATGCAGCGACTGTCATGAACAAACCTACCACCGGAGAAGCGAGCGAAGAAGCGGATTCTCAAACCCAATCTGAATCACAATCGAGTACCGCAACACCATCAACATCAACATCTAACGAATCCACATCAACAAGCCAAACCTCCCTCACGTCCCTACCCTCCGACACCAACAAAAATAATAACATCCCCCACCTCCTCCGCCTCCGGACCGCCCTCTCAATCCTCCAATCCTCCTACCTCCCTCCCCACCTCTCAACCCTCACCAACCAAGCCCTCTCATCCCCCAAATCCCCCCTAAACTTCCTCCCGCTAACAACCCGCCTCACCGAAATCTCCAACCTCCGCGCCACCGCACTCGCCTCCCGCTCCCTCTCAGACTTCAGTCGGAAGCGGGGGATGGATGATTTCGACGAGGAGGGCGCGGAATCGAGGGCTGAGAAGAAGATGAGGTTGGAGGAGGAGGAGAAGAGGAAGAAGGCGGGGACGTCCAGGGGGGTGAGGGATTTGAAGAAGGCGGATACGTCCGGGATGAAGAAGTTGAGTTCCTTTTTCGGGGCGGCGGTGAAGAAGAAGAAGGAGTCATGAAGAGCTGTGCCAGTACGATGATGCATTTGCATGAATGTTTCTGAGATCGATCACGGCATTTTTTGTTCGGGCTATTTTACCCCGTCATCCCGCTTTCTTCTCCGAGCGATCCTCCTCGGGAGGGGGAAGGCCCGCATCTACGAAGGAGGACGGCTACACTACCCGCAGATCAGACCCTTTACCCGTCACCGAAAGCGAGTTGGACCTGCGTCCGTCCGTCCATTCATCCGAATTCCACCAGAGAAAGCGCTTCGGAGGGCCGTGATATTTTCGGGGATCCCGGGTCACCGGGCTAACGAATCGGGACGGACCCCACCTCCTCACCGAGGCCGTGTGGGTTTCGCGATTTTTTTGATGCGTGTTCCCTGCAGGTTGTACGGAGCACTTTTGGAGGGTGGGGTTGTGCTATCTTATTGCCAAAATACTTCCAGTATAAACATAAACTAGAAGTGGAGGGGGAAGGGCACGTGGAAATATTGTCCTGGGGAAACATACCCTCCTGAGTCCCGTCCTCTAGAACTTGGCGGGAATATGTAGAAAATATGTATCATCAGTTCTTACATGAATAACGAAATAGGGAGGGTGTTATCCAAAAGAGCTCCAACGCAACGTGCAGTGGAATTGATCGTACAACCTTTCTCTTTCTCCCTGAAAAAAGTACATGTATTGCATTGGTAGACCAAATATTTAATTTTTCTTACATCTTATATCCTAAAAGTTAGCGGACGTGATAGCAGCTCCAGAGATCCTAATATCAAAGTCAGTAAATCGCATTCAATTTGGGGGGGGGGGGGGGGGGGGGGGGAAAAAAAAAAAAAAAAAAAAGGGGGGGGGGGGGGGGGGGCTTCTCATGTGGAAACGTGCTCATCGTATTTCGCGCATGCCACGGGCCTTACTTCTTTGATATCGCCGAGTCCTGTTCTCGCTGGCATAGCTATTCAGTTTAAGGTATTAAGCACAGAGCAATGCACACTCCAAGTGCTGTGCCAGGGACTCGCGTTAAGTGGGAGTGCAAACCGAACAAACTAGCAAACTGTGCACGAGGGGTACTTGGATACCCCGCCAAAATTTGTACCTTTTACTTCGTTTGTCGAGGGGAACTGACGCAGTAATATGGACAGTTTAGGTATCAAAAAGGGGGAGAGGGGGAGGCTGGGTACTTTGTTTCCAAAATGCAGGTAAATTGAACCATTTTGCCTAGGATTATCTCTTCAATGGCTCCTTCCGAGACCTCAGCTATCATTGTGAGTCAGTCGATGTAAAAATTTTCAGACGCGGAATTTTAGATATTTAAACTCATAGAGTTCTCGCTTAGTTATCCTAAAGTTTGCGTGACTGCTAACCTTAAAGATCCATATCAGAATCATCTTTTTCTGCAGGGAAAAATCTAGGGGGGTTCTTCATCTTTTATAATAAAGCAACCTCCTGTCTCTTGCATCAACGAGCACACGTACGGTTGTTTTGAAACTTGCCTCACATAACTCGCAGACGGGGCGAGAAGCAGTAACACTATGGCAGGAGAATCCGAGTCTGTGGGAGCCGCCCCCCATGGGGACTTTGATACGATATTGACCCTCGACTTTGGGTAAGTATCACCCTGAAGTAGCCCCTTGGCGGGCATACAGTGGCTAAATTCAGTCTCCTCGCTTTAGCTCGCAGTACACACATCTGTAAGTCATGCCCTAAGTCCAGGTCAATTAAAATCAAGGAGGTGTGCTGATAATATGCAAAGCATAACTCGCCGACTCCGAGAGTTAAATGTCTTCTCGGAAATGCTCCCATGTACCCAGAAGATTTCTGAATTAAACTTCACTCCCAAAGGAATCATTCTTTCTGGCAGTCCGTATTCAGTCTATGAGAAAGATAGCCCGCATGTAGATCCTGCTATCTTCGATTTGAGTATGACCTATTATCTATACTGGATTTTCGAGTTCTTTCTAACTATAATTTCGCAGATGTTCCCATCCTCGGGATTTGCTGTACGTGGATATCCAATGTTTGCCCATACTGGTATTGGGCTAATAAAGGGGATTAAATAGATGGCATGCAAGAGTTGGCATACCGATTAAGTCCAGATAATGTCACCGCGGGCACACGCCGTGAATACGGTCCCGCTATTCTCAGACCTCAGGCCGTCAGCAACAGCCATGTTGACCGTCTCTTTAACGGGCTCGAAGAGCCTATGCAAGTATGGATGAGCCACGGCGACAAGCTGGCCAGGCTCCCCGAGGGCTTCCATACCGTGGCTACCTCTGATAACTCCGAGTACGCCGCCATTGCCCACGGCACCAAGTCCATCTACGGCCTTCAGTTCCACCCAGAAGTCACTCACACAGCAAATGGCACCCAGATCTTGAAGAACTTCGCCATTGATATTTGTGGCTCCAAGCAAGACTGGACCATGTCCGCGTTTTTGGACCAAGAAGTTGAACGAATCCGCAAACTTGTCGGGGATAAGGGTCAGGTTTTGGGAGCGGTGAGCGGTGGTGTTGATTCCACTGTAGCTGCTAAGCTTATGGTGTGTATCCCCCTGCCCTAAAGTCCACACATTCAATTTCTTCAGGGAGGAGCTAACACCTCGCAGAAAGAGGCTATTGGGTCAAGGTTCTGGGCTGTCCTCGTTAATAGTACGTATTTCTAGCCCAAGGGTTTCCTCTATCTTTCTATCTCAAAAGAAGGGACAAGGAGCTGACAGTTTGATAGATGGTGTCATGCGGCTCGATGAATGCGAGCAAGTACGAAAGGATCTTTCAGAGCATCTCGGAATCAACCTTACTGTTGTGGACGCTTCCCAGCAATTTTTGGATGGCTTGAAGGGTCTCGAGGACCCAGAGAAGAAGCGAAAATTCATTGGTATGTTTAAACAACTCCCCGAAATCATTGGCTTCGTTCGAACGTATCATGGAGATTAACCCGTTTCTAGGAGGCAAGTTTATCGACATGTTCGAAGCCGAGGCAGAGAAGATTGAAGAAGCTTCCGCCAAATCCGGCCTGGGTGGTAAAATTGGGTTCTTCCTCCAGTAAGTATTTTCGATTCTGGGACAGGTTCTTAGTTTTCATCCCCTGGGCAGTTTTTCCCTACACGTCAATGCTAATCACTAAATAGGGGGACCCTCTATCCTGACGTGATTGAGAGTCTCTCATTCAAGGGCCCATCCGCAACTATCAAGGTAAGACCCCTTTGGAGAGCTCCTTACAAGGAGGCGGCTATGCTAACTCGTTGATAGACTCACCACAATGTGTATGTTCTACTCCCCGCCATTTCGATCCCGAATGGGCTGTTTACTAACCACTATTAAAGCGGCGGCCTCCCAGAACGAATGACCAATGGCCAAGGCCTCCAGCTAATCGAGCCACTCCGAAGCCTCTACAAGGATGAGGTTCGTGGTATGTATCAATCCACTCGCCGACAAAAGTTGCGTCTCCGCGATAAAGAACGAGAGTACTAATATAGCCAAAACTAGCACTTGGCCGAGCCCTTGGAA